TCTGCAACATCACCCGCCCCAAGGCCAGGGCCTCCCGCTGCTGCGTCTCCTTCTTGGCGTACTACAACGACTCCGTCGTGCCGTGCGGCACCTGCACCTGCGGCTGCGCCGACGGGCACGCCGCCGCGCCTGCGACGCCGACGCGCCGCCGCTGCTGCTCCCCTCGGAGGCCCTCCTCGTGCCTTTCGACAACAGGACGGCAAAGACCAAAGCCTGGGCCAATATCAAGCACCAGCCGGTGCCGAACCCTCTCCCCTGCGGGGACTTCTGCGGGGTCAGCGTCAACTGGTACATCTACAGAAACGCGTGGACGGCGAGGATCACCATCTTCAACTGGGAGGGGTACACATTCAAGGACTGGTTCTGGTGGGGCAAACGTCCCATCCCCACCATCTGAAGGGACGGCGCCACCACAGGAGGGGAAGGCTAGCACAGGAATCATGCCACGTCGACATACTCAACCTAGGATCCAAGATCCGAATTTTATTTGTTATTAGGATTTTCCTTTCATTTAGTTTCCTTTAATGAATTCTTGATCCTATAAATAGGATTAGCGCTGTAATAGACGGTTTGGTGCTGAATTTTGGAGATTGAGACATCGTTTTCAGAATTTGCCGTAAGCTTTCCTCTCAGACGCCGCCGCCGCTGAGAGGCGACCATCCGGCGTCCGTCCGCCCATCACGAGCGCACGACTTCCCCTTTCATCCACCTGTGTTCCACCATTCGAGAGCGACATCCAATTTCTCTCGCCGCCGATTGCACCGACCGCCATCTGGCGCGTGGTTGTCTACCGCCGGCGATAGACGACAACGTTCACAACGACGAGTGTTGACTCGTCGTGAAGCCCCGCTTTCAGGTCGTCGGCAGCCGACGCAGCCACGCGCCCTCGGCCGACGCGCGCGTGACTCTCCCCCGCTGCACGTCTGCCCATTGCCCCTCGCGCGCGACGATTCCCGTAGCAGCCCGTTTCGCCACGGGAACGTCGAGGTCCTCCATTGGGAGAGTACGTGGACTCAACCCCGGTTTAGGTTTCGGGGCGCTGCCCCGAACCCCGCAAGGGGGCGG